CGAATCAGAAATGCCGCCGTCAGTGTTGGTGAGCTGAAGTTTACTTAGTCTTATTTTATTACCTCCGGGACGAAAGTACTGTTCCGGTGTCTCATTGGGAGTGTCAGTTTGTTTGTTTCTGAACAAATTAGGTTGATATTGCGTCATACACATGGCAAGTGAATGGCAGTCCAAAAGACCGGAGATCAAAAGGTCAAAGAACCGCAGAAATAAAATGACTTGAAATTCACAAAATTTTGCATGGAGGCAGCAATAGAGGATTGCGTGAATCATTTTTTTAACCCCTCACAGATTCCGCCCCGGTGCGGCATACGACACAATCTGCTAGTATGGTCCCCAAAAAATTCCCAAAACACAATTTTTTTTTACTAGAATTCTAAACTCCCTGAGCTCCCGTTGGTATGCTAGAAGTAACTCATCTACTGTTGGTAGATCAAAATATAATAGTGGTCATTTTAATTATCTTTCGCATTCTTTACAGCAAACCACTGCCGGGATCATAGAAAAGCTTGCCACTGCGGCTCGGGGAACACAGGGCATTTCTGTAGAGAATATGGAGACCATAGCTGATGGTAAGAAACTTTTGTTTTTTGTGTACAATGTAGAGCTCACTAAAAATGTCTTGTTTTATAAGATATATTATATATTCATTTGTCAGCATGAGGAATTAATAGAAAATCAACAGTGCCTCGATTTACCCCTTTTAAATGTTAACAGTTTTACATTACTTTCCCTGGTTCCTTCCACTTCCTTCTAAATTTTTGACTTCTATATTTCACTCAACTAGAATACTATACTACTACTACTATACTATACTATACTATACTGTACTATACCATAACATACCATACCATACATAATATACCATACCATACCATACCATACCATACCATACCATACCATACCATACCATACCATACCATACCATACCATACCATACCAAACTATACCATACTATACTATACTATACCCTACCATACCATGCTATACTATACTGTACTATACTATATTAATATACTATACTAAACTATCCTATACTATACTTATACTATACTATACCCCACTCTACTGTAGTACTTAACTCAACTCTGCTCTACTCAAGTTTACTCGGATGAGTTACATTTAAAGCTATTTTCTTTTTATTTCAGCCTTGGTGCAGACGGCTTCAGCAGCCATCGACGTGTTACCTGAACAGAAAACACAAAAAGCAAGTGACCTTGATAGTGCGTTAGAAAGTGACCTTATTGACACGAGTGCCACCGATCTCTCCCCGAGGCAGCAGCTGAAGGTGTTAAAGGAGAAAGAGAAGGAAAAGGTAGACATTGTAAGGATTGTAACAATATGTCAATTCGCACAATAAATGTGATTACTGATTACATTATAATTCACTAAAATTGAATCTCGCATTCTAAAGTATTCAAAGCAATGCAGGAAAGTCCTTCTCAGCACTATTAACGTGTTGCTATTTGATTTCAGCAACGAGAAGCGTCTCAGATCATTGTGGCATCTCTGGACCAGGTGGCCGACACACTACTGGCGTTGCAGCCCGAGGATGTAAAATACCAATCAAGCTTTAAAACAGAAAACGTCGCTGTGGATGTAGCAAGGTCTCCGTCTGACAAAGACCTTCACATTGGCTCCGGGGATATTGTGGCAAATATCCCCCCAACAAATCTGACCAACGCACACGATATGATGGACATCAAGGTAAGAAATACGCAAAAAATACATTGTCTTCTGCCATTATTCTATCATTGTTTTTTTTAAATAATTGTTGTTCCAAGCCCAAAATTTTAAACCCCTAAATTGTTTAGGATGCCAAACAATAAGTTGTACCGTGTGTTTTTCAGATGTCAGTTTTCAAGAAGAACCCATATTCTTGGAGTAAATCGACAGGAGGACAAAATATCTCGTCATCAGTGGCGTTTCTGACCATCGATTCAAAGAATTCAGGAACCTTTACCAAAAACAAGAAGGTAAAACTGGATATGCCATTTGTACCGTCCCATGAGAAACAAGAGCCAGCAAGCCGGTCATCACACGTCACTACAGAAAGTCCAAGCACGGCGAAAGAGAACGCCAACGGAACAACTATGGTGTACCACGCCTTCAATGTTCCAGCTGATAACGTCATCCCGGTTATCCGTATGAACTGGTGGGATGTAGAAGCGACATTTCACGTGTACATCTCGTACGGCTCTCCTCCGACTCGAGAAAAGTTTGTCGAGAAAAGAGTCATAAAAGAAGACGGATACGAGGCCTGGCTCAAGGGGACGAATTTTTCAGCATCCTTTATTCCCAACACAACGGATCATGACAGGGTTTTGTATATCGGAGTACAGAAGTTAGGTGAGTCTACGTTCCTAAACCTTTATGAAACAAACGTTATTTACCTTCTATATCTTAATACAATACTGTACGACCTGTCGTTAATGTTAGGGCTTTATACATACTGTATATGTAATAGTTAATGGTAACTAGCCTTAAGTCTTATAGAACGCTCTGCCTTACGTACACGTTATATTGTGTTCAATACTGTATTGCTTAGAATCGACGTGGAGATCGCACTAGTCTAAAGTGATTAGTCGGTATTCTTTTACCACACGTTGATTCGTCATTAATATAATTATATATAATCATACATCCCTTTGATTTCCATACCTGTTACAGTTGTGCAATGAATTTGATTTGACTATAAACTTTCCAGGACATACGAGCTCAACCCAAGGTCATCAACCGCAGCCTACCGTTCAGATCCTGAGCAGAGAAGACTACGCCCTGTCGATGTCAGCTGTAGGCTGCTCGTCTTGGAACGACAATAAGAAACAATGGAGGCTGGAGGGCTGCGATGTAAGTCTACCCAGTTAAATTACATTGTAGAATGACTATTGCAATGCTATTGCTATCCCTGCTTAGCTCTTCTCTAAACCTAAAATGTCACCGGGAACAAAGTAGTGACTAAATTGGTCAGTTGTTTCCAAGATTACGATTAAGGACTGCAAAAAACTGTCCCATGATGACACAGCTGTATTAATTTCTTTTTTTTTGTATTTCATAGGCATATTGCTCCTGAATTAATTTTCTGTAGAGGTTTATCTTAATTGCTTTACTCTGAGAACTATTAAAACAAAATCACAGGAAAATACGTCCAAACAAGTTTTTTAATAAAATTTAATGTAAAAGAGATTGAAAAAAGGAAAAGCAGTGTAGCACCGATAAGACAATGTTCTTTATTTTTTGCCATCGGCACTAAACCAGAATATACAGTACAACTAGACGAGTGAAGAAAACTGAGGTTTTAACAATGCCATTTAGTGTGTTGTCTAGATGCTTATACCGCCATTATTTTAAATCGTGAACCTTTGAACCCACGACAGGCTGACATTGCTCTCAAGACGGGGTCATCAGCTGCAGGTGTCCCATGACCGAATGGAAGGTCTCTGTAGGGACCATGACTCTTCCACTCCCCAACTCCATCAACTTCATCAACGCGTTCCAGAACTTCCTCCACCTGAGCGACAACTCCGTAGTGTTCTCCATCGTGGTGTCCGAGTTCATCCTGTACCTTCATATCATGGTTCTCTTGTGCGTGGACTTTCACCGTGTATGGGTAAGGTTGAAGTTTCTTCATTCTTGAACTTTACAAATCGCCTTACGTTACTCATCCTTTTTTTTTTTTGAGATTGAAAACATCAAAGAATTTTATAAATCATCATCAAAGCTATTTTCATATCATTAACATGATATCATTTTTAACATCATATCATTTTATATGTACAATATGCAGAGCGGTGCGTCAGGTGGTCGCGAGCAACAAGTAGTTAATTTATGGTTGGTGTATAAACTAACCTGAAATACACAGCTGTTAAACAAGTATGAAGTGCAATCAATAAAAGTAACTAAGCAAAATCAAAGAAAAAAGTTGAAAGGCGTGTTAAAAAGAATGTAGACTATTCAGTACGATTACTTTTGTCAAATGATAGAAAAGTGTTTAAAGATGTAAACTTTTTTTATTTTTTTCGCTGATACACATTGAGCAGTGCAGAAAATAACATGTAGTTTTTTTTCATAAATTGACTTTGACTTAACTTTATTGGGATCCACACTTAGCTTACAAAAATTGTATTGCAGCTATTCGTACTGTGGTCCTTCAACACACACATGACACACATTTACGAAACATAAATACATTGTCGACAATCACACCATATTAACACATCTTAAAATAAGGCTATACACATCATCAACACTTTATTTCATTACAGGCGCTGGCCATCCTATACAAACATCTTTTTTTCTGTGCATTTGTTCAATAAATTCATTTTTAAGTGCAGCGCTGAAACAAAGGACTGGCTAATAGCTAAAGTTTGATAAAAGAACTGGTTTAAAAATCAGCTAAAATGTCCAGCTCTATTGTTGACCACTGCCATGTTCTGAATTAACCCAAATTGAAGTAGCTTGTTAAGGTAGAGGCTAAGAGTTTATTTTTTTTACATCATTAGAAGGCCCTTCGTCGTCCGTTCGCCCGCTGGATAAGTCCCATTACCGGAGCAAGTGGAGGAGCAAAGAACCGAAGTGAGCCGCTGTGCAAAGTGAGTCTGGTCCCTCCTGACAGGATGGTCGCACGTCATGTCTATCAACTCACGGTCACCACCGGGTCCATGTTCGGGGCAGGGACTACCTCACGGATCGGCTTGCAACTCTTCGGGTCAGAGGCCACATCCCCAGTCAAGATGCTGAACCCAATAGAGAGGTCTGTGTTATATAGCTACATTCTCAGTATTCATGATTTTCTCCTAACCTTGATTTGTACCATTACCACTTATTTGCACCATAAATTACATTTTTACTATGGGCTAAATTGTTCATTATCTAATTACATTTGTGTCACATTTATATGTTCCTGACGTTTTTTTATTGTTGACAAATATGGGTAGGGTGCAACGTCATGCCATCCATGCACTATTAATGATAATAACTTATAATAGAATGCCAAATCATCTGTACTAAATTTCTTATTGATTTGATTAGTTAATGTCTTGTAGGCCTATGTGATGTATACATGAAAAGTGATGTATAAGTTACATGCATTTGTTTTTACAAAATGTATATTCTAGGTATCTTACATGTAGGCCTATAACAAAAGTAACAATACTATATTGGTTATCATTTGTTGGTTTCAGGGAATATCTGAGCAAAATTCTTGATATTCTTGAAATTATGTAAATTTAATGCAAGGGAGAAATAGAAGAAAGGAAAACAAATTCATGTCATTTACCGTTGATAATTTACAGGCTTTGGTGCGCGGAAGCACTTTTACATTTTTGTCATGCCTGTGCGAGAGTCACTTTGGAGAAGTGCTGTTGTTTGCGCATCTGGCATGATAACTCTGGGAAAGGAGACACGGCATCCTGGTTCCTCGGAAGTTTTTGTCGTCAGAGATATAGAAACCGACGTGGTGTAAGACGC